ATTCTAGTATTGATAAAATAGCTACCTTTATAATATAGAATGACTTATTCTAACTAACAGTTTTCTTTATTTCAGTACTCTTACGCGCCTTAAATTACTTAAAAATATATGACTTAATAAATACTAATTACGCTAATATTATAAACAAATAAATCTACTTACTATCACGGCACGTAGGTCTCGAGAGCAGTGCGCACAAATAACTTAACAAATGTAATAAATAATTAACTATGGAGAATAAACGAGAAGAGGAGGAAGTGCGAGTCTAGCTGGCACGACTAAATACAAGAATGAAATAAGAAGTGGGTTCAATAGGTAAATACAACAAATGAGGCATGTAGGTAATACAGCTAATCAGAAAGCATAACGCCAAGCTATGACACTTACTAGAAAGATTTTACTAAAAAGATAAAAGCATAAATAAGCTTTATACAATTTATTGATTGAGGGCAAAGGAAATAATAAATAAGTATCGATTTAGTATAATTAACTTCTTTAATTCCCGTTGAAAGAAGTTAAAACAATTCAAATTACTATATTAAGGAAAATAAATAAGATTAGGAACCTTGTACATTAAAAAGAAAGAAATCGTTTCCCAAATCTAGTTTTTCTGGCGCTCCGGAAAAATAAAAAAAGTTACTAAAAAATATAACAACGAATAGAAGGTATTTATGTTCTTTATTTTTAAGTAACTTATAATTAACTAATTTATATTATTAAAAAAGAAGCTAGTAGATACTAATATACTACGTTTGGAGCAAGCTATGAAAATAGTTGTTAAAAATATCAAGTATAAATATATTGTTTTAATCGGGCCCAAACTTTAATTGGGAATATAAATCCCTTCTACGCTTAATACTTTTCCTATTCAAACTATCCTCTATCATATTTGATTTGGTATTAAAAAGATTATGAAAAACGTTGAGACTACTGCAAAAGTAAAGTGATGAAAAAAAATAAAGGTAGGTAGCTAAAAGAAAATGAGAAATTTTGCAAAGGAAAAGCGTTGGAAGTAAGGAAATTTCCAAAAGTGTAATTATTATTTTTGTTTATTATATTTATCTATTTTATCAAAATTTTAATTTATCAAAAGATATTTGAGCTATTCTTTGAAGGATGATAATGAAGAGTAAAGTTTTAATAATATTTAATCATATAAGTAAATTAGCGCAGATACTTAGTATATTTGAAAGGAAGAATTACGTTGAGATAATGTTTTTCATTTGTCCATAGACTAATAAAATCTTTAAATATTGAAAAGAAGCTATTAAAAGTAAAGGGCAAATTAATCACTCATTTTTAATACGATTAGGCTTTTTATACTTAGAAAGAGATAGAAAGGTAGAAATAACCTCTCTTTGGAAAATAAAGGAAAGTAAGCAATTTTAAACTAAATATAAAAATGCTAAAGAATACATCCAAACTTTGCCTCCAAGTAGATTAAACTTATTAAATACTTACTTTTGATAATTTTACTCGCCTTCTTTTAAGAAAATTAACTTACAAATCCGCTCCTCACTAATCTAAGGAGGGATCAAGAGATGAAGCTTTCTTACCTTCTAGTAGTTTAATAGCTACGATTTAACAGCTTTTGCCAATTCCTACAAGTAATATCTTCAAAGCCTTAGATCTGGACTTCACTTGATTTTAGATAGAGAGCCTCTTTTATTTTATTGGTGTGGTTTTGCTCCATTCTAGTACTAAGCGTACTACTAATATACGACAATAAATAAAGCTATAAGAGATTCGCTAGTAATTGTTAACAATCAAAGAGAAATTATGAAAAGCCAGTTAACAATTGCTAACAATCGCTAGCAATTAAAAAGAGACTATAAGAAGCTAGTTAATAATTGTTAATAATCGTTAGTAATCAAACCAAACAATTGAAAACAATTACTGAAAAGATTATATATATATGGACTAATACAAATTGAGTACGATGAAGCAGTTAATTATTTAATTGAGTAGTATTTAACCGTAATATACAACCGTACTGCTAAGTGCGCTACAAAATACTATGAAATCACTAATCTAAGCTTAGCACTAAATATATATTAAGATTCTATAAAAGAATATAATACACAAATTCTTATTGTAAAATCTATGAAAATTTAATGCCAAGCCGCTAAAAGCGGGCGCTAAAAGAAGCAAAAGAATACAAGTAATTTAGTTAGTTTAAAATGCGAGAACGTAAGTCGTAAGCTAGAAGATAAGGTTTAATAGCGCTGAGAAGACATTTGTAACAGTCCAAAAAGACATTCTCCAATAAAAAAGATATATATAAAACTATTTGTATATATAAATCAGTTACATTTATCTATAGCAATTTATACAGTTTATACAATTTACACAATTTATATAATTTATTCAATTTATTAACAAATACATTTAAATATTATAACAATTGTACAATACTAGTATTATATATTATTAACGTGTGGCTAGTACTGTACCTTGTAACTGCCTTTCATTACCTTATAGTATAGAAGGCTGATTGAACTATTCCTTCTACGGAATTAGTTCACTCAGCCTCCACCGAACGTGCTAGAATATAAAGGTTTTGCCGCTGTATTCTGAGATTCTCTAACTTGTTCAGCATTTCTTCTAGACTAATTTGTTATCATGGAATGCACCAGAAGTTTATGAATTCCGTTCATTCTTTTTCTTAGTAAAGTGCTCCTACAAGCACTCCTATCAAATTACAGAAGCTTCTACACTTTGGAAGATTCTAGATACTTAACGTTCGGGTATATAAAGACCTCTTCTCTTCTTTAATTAGTCACTCCTTAAGCAAGCAAGCAAGCACAATCCAAGCAATACGATACAGTCTACTCCTATAGTGCAGAGTTTACTATAATAGTTGTTTCTTACAGTGCAGAGTCTACTGTACTCTTCTGTATTGAGAGCAGAGTTCTTTCTAAGACTTCTTTTACAACATCCCTCTATTTTCTTTACAACTACGCTGCTTTCTTCAGCACTGCTATTGTACTTCCTACCGCTTCCGCTCCGCTCCACTACAAGTGCATAGTTCACTGTAGCATATCTTTACTGGTGCTATTATTATAGGCCAGTTAGGACATTGCAGCAAACATATATATATTAAAATTAGTATTATTTTAATATACTTAAATATAGTAGTTGCTATTGAAAGTATAATCTTTCATATAATGTTTAAAAAAATATTATACTTTATATTAAATCCACAAAACACACTTTCTTTTTTTACGTTTTACAAACTAAAGCTAATCTGTTAGCTCTTTATCTTAATCAATTACTAGCACTAAAGGCATTCAGTATATAAAATTGAGTATTGCTAGACTCAAAATTACATTTTCAATATTAATAATACAATGAATAAATATATTAACTAACATTTATTTACTTTATATGTTTATACCTGTTACCAATATTACTAATATAATAGAGTAGTTATCATTATATAAAGCCTATTAAAACCAATCTATATCAAACTTAAAGCTTATTAAACTGATCTACACAAAGCTTATCGAACCAATATATATATTATCAAGTACTTGCCTATATAAAATTTATGTTAAAAAAAAACTCTCTATAGGTATTAGACTTCCTATAGGCATTAGACTTCGCTATAAGTATTAAACTCCCTATAAGAAAGTAAGTAATTGACCATAGCCAATTACCATACCAGCGATTATATTACCACTTTTACAGTTTTATAAAATCAATACAATTACTTTAATACAACGACCGTATACTTCATTACGTACTCAGTACGTATCAAAACTAATTTAACTCTAGTTAATACTATAAGGATATTAACGTACTACCCAATGCGGTAAAGACTGTAGGATTACGGGACTTAAAAAGCCATACCGTTATAGGCAGTAGAAGAGGTGGACGAGCGATGCCAAGGTTGTAAGCGGCATAATCGACTCCGACTGGACGACACACCAAGATCATCGCCAGCGTCTCTCGCACGTCATCGCCGGCCCTCGCACCCTCCAGCGTACTCCAGTGTACCCACTGATCCAACGCCAGTCTAACCGCCCCCAGAGCCGCCGTCCAGTCTTTTACCTTGGCTTTTGGCGCAAAGCGATCTCCGGGACTCCAGCAGTTTGTCAGACTATCTGCTTGTGTTTCCCGAAATACGCTTTGGGACTCTCTCCACCGTTCGTCTCGTCAACTTTAGTGTTCCCTCTTTTGTCGTCCAGACCAACGGGTGGGCCTGGCCAAGGGTGGATACACACATGGGATGGACGCTTTTGCAATCGCGAAAAAAAAAAGTCAGAGTCGGATCCCTGCAAGCACCAGATATAATCTACGCAACAAGGGGGGTGCGGTGTGAGAACGAAGAAGCAGCTGGAGTTGAACAACCATGAAGGTTGCCGGGGGAAAACGAGCGAGAAAGAGAAAAAAAAGAATTTTACCAACTGGCGGCGGAGGCTGGGACCCAATTCCCCCCACTCCAATGCGGTCCCGTCACTGGTGCTGGCACTGGCAGACGAGATGTGGCCCGTGTGTCCACGCCCGTGTCTCCCGCCCGCCGGAGCATCGTCCACTGCCCGCAGCGACAGTCCATGGCGCAGTGAGGTGTCGTCAACTGGGCCCCCGTCCCCGACCCCCCGGACACACAACCTTGGCTGGGTCTGGAGTTTCCCAGCTCTTGTGACCACCACCACCGGCCTCTATCCGACAGGCAGGAAAAGCAACAAATAAGTCAACTACCCCGCCGCCTTCCCGCCTTCCCGTCCCGTCAAACTGGAATTTGAAGGCTTGCAAAAAGAGAAGGAGCCCTCCGAGTCGGTCAAGCTGGGCAATTTTTATAGACGGTAAAGAGAGTGGACAACCAACACGGGCAAACACGAAGCAGCCTGCATGCAACTGGGCCAGGCATTCCGACTGCCACCATCGTCACCCACCTCTAGGTCTACCATTTAGGTGAAGGTCGATGCCTCGACGACACACTGTCTCCGGCCACCACTACTCACCCACGCACCACACGCACCACGACCAGCACCACCATGCCGACTCGACTAATACCGTTGCAACTCCCTCAAAAGGTGGAAAGAGAGAGGGCTCGCATGCTGGAGCTCCTACAGTACAACTACAACAACAATGACGCCGCCGATCACTCTTCCATCTACTACACCCATAACTCGAGCTCTTCCTCGTCCGACATTGCCTCACCACTGCCCATCACACCAACCTTTTCGCGCCCCAGCCACTCGCGTTACTCGGGTTCGACCTCCTCGCTCGAGAACATTATGCCCCCCAATGCCTCCTCCGAGTGCCCTATCTCGCCATTACAACAAACACATCCCAACAAGGCCAACAAGACCCAGCTCCCGGACGTGCAAGAAGAACCTTTGGAAAGGGATTCGGTCGATATCTATGGGGACGAGGACGACTACGACCTTTACTCGGGTGCGGACGAGGCCAGGCTAGGGGGCCTTTACGATTGCCTTTGTAGGTTCCAACGAGGTCTTTCTTCCTCCAAGGCAGAATTCAAGGCAGCTAACTCGATCATAACTAGGCGACGAGGCATGCTCCCACCACAACGATGTAGCCCAAAGCATCACTACCCGTCCTTCCATGACTTCGGATTTCGACTACGACCTCGGCTTTCTGAGCGACACGGATTTCAGCGATAGTTCAAGGTCAAAGAAGAGGAGGCATGGGTCAGATGCTGGAATGTCGTCTTGGAGTTCAAGGATAGGGTCAAAGCTCCCGAGCTTTTCAAGATGGGGATCCACGTCAAGGCGGAACCAGTTTGCTTCCGCGCCCGCTTCCGTCTCGTCTCTTGTTCAACGTCCCAGCATCTCCCGAACCTTTTCCCGTGCCGCCTCGAGCAGGTCATCGTCGATATCCGCTTCGATGCGACGCCCTTCCGAACAACAGCAACAACAGCAACAACAACAGCCGCAGTTCACTGAACCACCACTTCCTACCACCCCTGCGCTCTCTTTCTACGGCAGCCCCGACGAAACTGTTTCTCCTGCTTCCCCGCTTCAAGATGCGCAGGCAGCCGCTGGAAAAATCCTGGAGCGGGAACGTGCCTTGGCAGCCACTCCTCTCCTGCCTCCTCTGTTCACCGAAAGCCCAGTAACCCAAGGAAACACGCAGTCGCTTCAAACATCACCTCTGCAGTCACCGACCGTTGCTTCTTACACTTTCCGGATATTGGCAACACCCAATCCTACCCTACGCCACCGCTGAGCACCAAGGCATCAGTGGCATCGTTCCGCCGCGCAACTATTGCGAGCACAATCAGTGAACTACCCTCGCCGCTTCCGTTCCTTGAGGACCAGGATGCTTGGTCAGACCGTCTAGGACACGCCAACTTCACGATTGAACCCAGGCCCTATGTACCAGAAACAGCCGATTTAGCGACTTATGAGGCCTTCCGTGCTGATTGGAACCAAGCCAGGATCAACTTTACCAAACATCTTGTCCGGACTGGAGAACACTATGGGTTGACGTCAATCACATACGGTTATACCCAGGATAAATGGGCAGAGATAGAGCAGGAATGGGGCCGGGCTGAGGAGGATCTCATTCAACGACTGGAACCGCAGTTGACTAGGGCGACTACGACACTGCTCCGTCGTGCTACCGAGGATGTGCTTCCGGCTGCCGTCCCCGAAATGCTGACGGATGAGGGCAAGTTTCCCGACCGCGGCGATGTGGACATTGTCGGGCCAATGGTCCGCGATGCGGTCATGGCTGGACACGACGATAGGAAAAACAGCGCCTCCCTTTGGCTCAAAAGCCTCGTGGACAAAGTGGGGCGTCGGAAGTGAAGCGAAGGAAGGGAAAAGCATCATGTGCCGTCCCACGCTGAGAGTAGTGAAAGGTAGGGAGTACCGAATTACGGTTCGAGAAACATCCGTTGGATACTACCCCATCTTTTTTGTTTATTTGTTCGATGGATAGATTGGAAGGGAGAAGCGGACAAGCAGCCTGCTATGCTTGCTATTTGGATGGACGGACGCACACCTCACGCATTTTTAACGCTGTCGACGACTTGATGATACGTGCCACGACACCCATACTAGATCTCTTTGGGGCTGGTGTCATTTCTTTTTGCATACTAAGCCAGTCCCCCATTTTTCTTGTTCTATTTTTTCTTTTTTTATCTTGCTGTCAAAAAGATACCCCATCAGGTTTACGAACATTGTCTGTTGTGCTTTTACAACCAAAAGTTATTTACACATGCTACATTACATACATACATACTACATACATACATTATCTGGGATCTACCTTACATACTCTACTTGTATATTCCCTTTTACTAGGTAGTCACAACTGGGTTTGGGCGATACATACATCGACCCTACCAACCAACCTGTCTCTTCTGCCCCTCATTGTTCAACTGTCTCTCTGTCCCCTTCATCGCATCTACTCAATGCTGTGAAGTGGCAGGTTTCACACACACACACACACACACACACACACACACACATAAGGACACACAAGAATACACGCATGTATCAAGGCTACACATCTATCTACCACAGTACTCTTGGTACTACTCACATCCACCCTTCGGCCTGACCAGAAAATGGTGTATTTAGATAAGTTCTTGTTTATCCATAATAGGATATCAGAGAAGGGTTCTCTAGAGGGAAGACAAAAAAATGAGACAACTGTACATATACACTCACTCTGCCTGATGTCTCCCCCCCTCTTCCCCATGTGTCCCCATGTGCCCACGGGAACGTGCCTGATGGTGCTTGCCGTTCCCGCATCAGTACTACCGCTGGTGTTACCGCTGGTGGTACGGCTAGCTGTCCGGTCTTCCCATAACCCCGACCTGCGTACCAGGTAGTTGTAGGAGAGAACTAATCTCTCGACTTTGACAGTCAGCCCAAGCGACCTGTAAGAACCACACTGGTAATGGGGCCCCTACTGTGTGTGTCAACGCGTGGGAACTGGGAGAAAGAATGAGGAAAAAAGAAGCCAGGTAGGTGGGTAGTCAGTCAGCCCGATATTATGATCCGTCATCCGATCCGATCCATTCCCGATCCCCGACGGGACTCTGGAACCCATAAATTCTGGTAGATAGTTGGTCGGGGTTGGAACTGGACTTGACCCGTACGTCGGGTTCATGACTCAACCCCTTGTTCAGAGCTCTCCTCTCTTGTATGTTAGTAGAGTTAGGCAGGCTGACAGCTTGATGATTTAGGCAAATTGGCTAATACTAGTCAGTTGAGTAGTGTTATGTAGTCCATACCTCCCTCAAAGAGATACCTCGTGACCAAATCCCTCTATTAGTTCTAGCCCCTCTCACGAACCATTTAGGCTTTCTTGGTTCTTAGTCAAGTCCGGTCCAGTCAGCCATGATGGCCAGTCCAGTCAAGTCCAGGGTAATTCAAATCCTTGCTTGACGTGAGTGTCCGACATATACACTAGGTAGTTGGTAAAACAAACCCCGCTTCCTTCCCATTCCCGCTTCGCAATTCTCAATCCTGGCTGGAAGCTAACCTAATCCTTGCCTGCTGGAGGTACAGTAGGTGTTGTGTTTGTGTTGTGTGTGTTCCGTGCCTTGTGTCGTCGGTGCGAGTGTTGAATCAGTGGTGATCTAACCATAGGGCGAGGGCGTTGGGGTACAGTGGGCATGACTTCCACTTTGACTGCTGTTGTACACAACTATGTGCCACAACTTTTCACCTCGGACGGACCGTTCCGATCACTTCAATAAATTAGTACATAAATGATTAAATAACGAGCACTTTTTCTTTTGCGAATGTTCCTCATCATTACCTTATCCACAGATTGTAGTGCGTATAGTGGTTCATCACATGGATGAATATAAGAAAGGGGGCACAGGCGGCCGCATGGCAGCCTGGCTGGCTTACTGGATGGATGGCAGACTGGGAGTGAGTAACCCAGTGCTGGGGGCGATGGGAGATGGGATAAGGGAAAGGGGAATACTCGGAGGGTTTGACCATGTGGGTTAGGTTGGGATTCAACGCCAAAAAAATTGAGATGAGAGTCGAACCGGGTTAGTTAGTTAGTTAGTGTAAGGCGCCATGGTGTAAACACTGGCCCCAGTCAAGTCCTCTTTTTGTCTGCCCAAAGAAACAGAGGTTGAACTCTTTTCATGATTACCTGTAGCCGGGCAGTCATAGATGCCCGGGCTTGGAAAACCTGCGGAATAGCAGGAGCGACCCCGTAGAGGCCAAGAAGCAGGGCCTTGAAGGCACTGAAATCAGGCGGGACTGTGATACGCAATGAGTAATATGGATAAGGTGGTGGAAGATGGGAGATGGAAGATACCAGACATGAACAGTATGGTGGTGACGATCAGGGTCCCCTATCACCGGGCACCTCACTCAGACAGACGTGCCTGCCTCACAACGTAGGGTACCGTACTTCAACTTAGGTAAGTAGGTACCTGTTCAACCTTTCACGTACATTAGTGTAGTAAAACTTAGGTACTGGTAGAGATCATACCATCTTGCGAGCATGTCTGCGGGCAGTGTTAGTATTAAAGACGCAAACAGATAAAAAAGCAGTGTTGAGGACACCGTTATTGGGCCGGCCGGCAGTGTCTATAGGTGAGGAGAAGACGGAACAAAGTGCCCGGTGTTTCTAAACCCCATAGGTGTTGGCGGGAAAGGATAGAAAAGACGAATATCAAAAACATACATGTTGCTTCAGACACGTTGAGGTAAGTCACCTATGATAGTACTTGGGCTGTGACTGCTTGATAGTGTCGTGGTTGGTATGGTTGCGGACTGGACTTGGGGCTGGAGTTCACATGGTTGAAGGTCAGTCTGACCTTGATCATGGAGTCCGTCCTGTAAGATTTCTTTTTTGTTTTCCGTCTTCCTGTAACTGGTGCCATTGATGGCCAAGTCAACCTAACTTGAACTTGAGCATCAAAAATCTCGAAACCAGGAAGGTAACTCTTTCCTCAACGTTCGAGTGGGCCATCACTCATCAATGCCGAGAACAGACTCACTTACTATCTCCACTTTATTGTTAGTAAGTTCACGTCATGGCCGCTCACTTCTCCCTAGCTACCTAGTATTGGGTCGTAGCGACTGGACTTATTCCACTTCCAACAAACACTGCCATCTATTCTACACATCAACAAGCACGTGGCTTCATGCTGTCCGGTAAGCAATCATCTTCAAAAACCTCTCTTGTATAAAGAAGACGATGGATGAGACACGAAGCACACGAAACACGTGGCGTCCAACGACACTCCTTTCCGCTCTGACCAGACATATACACTTACCTACCATATTTCAACGTACCCCACCTGAACTATTCCTCAACGGCTGCCGGCATGGGTTGGTGTCACGTCATTGCGTGTGTGTTTTCGGTAGATTGTCACTCACAGGCTGGGGCAGCGGTAGCGACAGGCATCTCTTGGAACCTAGTGGCGCTTTTATTGTCCTGCCGCAATGCATGATGGCGGAGGCGAAGTAAGTGGAACTATTAGGAATGTAATGTATGTATGTGTGTAGGGTTTCGGCTTCGGGAGGGAGGTAGGGAGTTATACGGTTTCCGGGTTATGTATCCGGGGTTCCTACCTACCTGTAGCCAGTATTCGGGCTTTTGCGTGCGCGGGACGGGACGGGAGGCGACGCGTATGACTGACTGGAATTTCCAGGGAAAGTTGGAGGGCTGACTAACTGGACTTTGTTTTCAGCCCGTCCCCTCTTGAAGCTGGTCAGACAGACAAATAGGATGACATCGATCGAAATCTTGGAATCTTGGAATCTCGGAAAGCCTGACTGACTCGGCTGAATGGCATGGTTTGGGGTTTCGTGTGGTTCGTATAAGAAAATTGAGATGAGATCTGAGACGGGATCGGGATCGTGTGAAAGCCTTTGGGGGTGTCCTGCCTCTGGGTCTCATTGGAGTATGCAATCTGTGAACAGGACAAGCGTGGTTGAAGGTAAAAGTGTCGTAAGTTGCCGTGTGTTCCCTTGATGCAGTCATCTTCAGGTTCATCATCTTCAGTCCTTCACGACTGGAAGAAAGAGGCTGTCGGTCGGTACAGGGAAAGTCCCGAATGGACGCTTTTTACGTTTCTGATGGACATAGGTATGTCCGTTCGGAAACCCCTGAATGCCGAAAATTGAACCCCTCAACCCTGACAGGCCTGTTCGGACTCGGACTCGAGGTCAAGGTCGGCCCCGCGGGTCTAGAAGAAGGGATCGACAGCCTGGCCATGTGGTAGCAGATATTAACTTTTCTGTACCTGTATGCAGGGCCGGCTTAGCGAGGCTCTAGACACTCCAGTCTCTCCTGCTCTGTGATACACGTCTGTCAGGCTCCGCTTGTCGATAAGAGAGGAGTCTAATAGCCAGATAGCCACCCGTCCTATCACCGTACCTGGTTCACAGTCATACGACATGTTTGTGTATCTCGCCGGTGTAGCACGACGATGGTTTGTGACAGAATACCACCAAGGTAGCCTTGTGGTACTGATGTTCAGCGGTAGACTGATTGATGTCTAGTCAAGCGCCATATTGGACGCTGATCATAGGTTGGCCAGCCAGCGGAGGGTTGTTCGAGTTAGATAATTCCTCCTCTTAACTCGATATTGTCAATATTCTGGTGAGACATGAGCGTCATAGGAGCTCAGTCGACACAGCTAAGGGAGGGAATCGGCATCTTCCCTGATTATCTCTCGAACATGTCTCTGATGTGAAGTGCCCGAAGAAGGCCTGCTGTGTCTCAGCTCGTCATTTTTTTTTTTGCAACTTGCAAGTTATACCGAGAGCTCATGAAGTGTCTGGATCTGTTGTCTCAAGCCGGTCAGCCGACTTATCAGTGTTGATGATACTTGGTATTCAGAGATACCAGATCAACTCAGAGCTGATGATGCATTCACATAGCTGGTGTAGATTTGAGTGTTCAAAACTCGATCTGTGGTTGTCCACTTGATGGACTCGCAAATCACCAACGACACCCCGGCGAGACTACTAGTAGGAACAAAACAGCAAGGAAAGATATCCCCATCCGAACGGGAACAGGGGTTTGTTGACGAAAGTGAGATTCGAACTCCCAGACCCCAACTCACAGCGACCCCTGACCTCCCAGAGCTTAACAAGCAACTGTCCCCGTCTTATGACTGGAGTTGCTTCATTTTATAGTTGTCGTCGGGTCTGCTGTGGCATCGGCGTGATCATCGGCATGACCGTAAACATGGAGAGTGTGAAGTTGATCCGGGGGACAGAAAACGAATGAACAGGTTACTTCGCCGAAGAATGATGGAGCCCCAGCCCCTGGCAGAAGAACCATGAGAGATGGGATCTTGAGATCTTGAGATGGGAGATGCGGCATGGTGTCAAAGAAACGGTTCAGGCCATGAAGGGGGCGGGCCAGGCCGACGCTGCCCTTCAAGTTGGATTAAATGCCAAGACTTGAGTGCTCAAGCTCCTCGAGACGCTAGCTTGTCTTGGCTTGGCGTGTTCAGGGTCCTCTGGGCCTCTGGCCGGCAGAGTTCCAAATCTCCCATTGACCCCACCTCTACCCCGCTAGAGGGCCCCGCCAGAGTGCTGCGATGCAGAGCTGGCGATTGCTGGGGGAACACATGGAAAGGGGGTCGTGGTCCCCGGGCCTCTCTAGCTTCATTTCCCAACTTCTTTGTTGACCGCCCGCCGCCGTCCTGTCTGTCCATCGCAACAACCACCAAGCAAACACCATCACGACATTGCCGCCTTCTGTTCTTTTTCTTTCTTCTCCGTTGCGACCTGTTCTTTCTATACGCCCCTAACGATACCCCGTATATAATCCCTTAAAATATTTATAATGGCTTCCGAAAAGGTCTACCGCGCCAGCACCACGGCCCCCGTCAATATTGCCGTCGTCAAGTCAGCCCAACTTTTCCTAATACCTAAACACTTCAGACGAACACGTAGAGAAGAGCATCTGAACTGACTTTGGCCCTGTCCCCCGCGATTCCAGGTACTGGGGCAAGCGCGACACCAAGCTCAACCTCCCAACCAACAGCTCTCTCTCCGTCACTCTCTCCCAAGCCGACCTCCGCACCCTCACTACCGCTTCCTGCTCGGCCTCGTACCCCGAAGGTGACTCCCTTCTTCTCAATGGCGAGCCTTCCGATGTCTCTGGCGCTCGCCCCCAGGCCTGCTTCCGCGAGCTTCGCACCCGTCGTGCCGCTCTCGAGGCTGCCGACCCCTCGCTCCCCAAGCTCTCCACCATGCCCCTGCGCATCGTCTCCGAGAACAACTTCCCTACCGCTGCCGGTCTCGCCTCGTCCGCCGCTGGCTTCGCTGCCTTCGTGAGGGCTATCGCCAACCTCTACGAGCTCCCTGCCTCCCCCTCGGAGCTGAGCTTGATCGCTCGCCAGGGCTCCGGTTCCGCCTGCCGCAGTCTGTTTGGTGGTTATGTTGCCTGGCGCATGGGTGAGGCTGCTGATGGAACCGATTCCATGGCCGACCAGGTTGCCGAGGCCTCGCACTGGCCCGAGATGCGCGCCCTTATCCTCGTCGCGTCCGCCGCCAAGAAGGGTGTCAGCTCGACCTCGGGCATGCAGCAGACTGTTGCCACCTCCGGTCTCTTCCAGGAGCGCATCAAGTCGGTGGTGCCCAAGAACATGGAGATCATGGAGAAGGCGATTTCCGAGCGCGACTTTGCCGCCTTTGCCGAGGTTACGATGCGCGACTCCAACTCGTTCCACGCTACCTGCGCCGACACCTATCCTCCCATCTTCTACATGAACGACGTTTCGCGCGCCGCTATTCGCGCCGTTGAGGCCATCAATGCGGCTGCTGGCCGGACCGTTGCCGCTTATACCTTCGATGCCGGCCCGAACGCCGTCATCTACTATCTCGAGCAGGATACCGAGGCTGTTGTTGGAAACCTCTACAGCGTCCTTAGCGAGGTGGATGGCTGGAAGGCGTCCGCCGTTGAGGGCCTCAAGTCCAACATTTCCTTCGATGAGAGCGTTGCCGGTTTGTTGAAGAACGGTGTTAGCCGTGTGATCATGACCAGTGTCGGCGAGGGTCCGGTTGCGACACAGGAGTACCTGGTGGCTGAGGATGGCACCCCGGTAAAGAGCTCTTCTTAGAGGAGATGGGTTCCAAAGGGGGACATTTCGCGTAAGCTGCTGTGCAGGTTGGATTTTAATACTGGAAAATATTGACATAATAATGTACATACCTGGCTGTGGATATAGGTCAACTACCAAGGAAGGGTAAGGTAGCGAAAAAGCTAGGGATATATAAGACAGGGCTGATTACTGTCCCTGGTGGACAGCGTTGGCCGACGACATGTGAAAGGGCCGGCAGGAGTTGTTGCAATGGCAAGATGAACACAAACCCCGTCCGTTTCTCAGTCGATTCTGCTTGGTGCTTATGTTAACCAGACAGCCAACCATTCGAGGTCTAGAGCTACTGACTGTCAATACAAGTATATAGTCTTCAGGCTCAAAATAAGGAGGTTGGATCCAAAGGGGACCTGATAACATGATCGCAGCGTCCCAAAATGAGCAGCATGTCAGGGGTTTGTAGGACATGCAGCGCTCACGGCACGGTCTTACGTCAGGGTATGGCGGGTTCAACCGTTCAACATCGCTTGGCGTTCCTCGTCGCGACCTCTCTACACGCGAACTGCACGCTTACACATGTACAACGCACCACGAAGCAGCCCTCGGTCATTTAACGCGCCATTGCATTATCAAAGGAAAAAGAATATTGATAAGAAATCTGGCTGGTTCAAAGCCCTATGATTCAGCTGGCACTGGACTCAACCGAACAACTGATTGCCATCCCACGCACAGCCAGCTAATATCGTTCTCGACTTCGACGAACGATACCAGAGTCTTCTCATCGATGTAGATATTACCACAGACGACAATCAAGATAATGAGCAGAAACATCTACGACATCGACCCGGCGGGTAATGTGCTCTGCACTTATACAGGTGGTGAATCGCAGGACACCACGCTGAGGGCCGTACGTACTTTGCTCTATCTTGTCATGCCATCAAGTTCTTCCACAACAGTATCAGCATCACCATCACCATAACCCTCATCACCATCATCATCTCAACCAACCAACCTTCACCAACCAACCAAATAACTACATCCAAACTCAAACTCAAACTCAAACCTCCCCTCCCATCCCATGACAAACTGAACAAGTCAAATCAAACCAAACAAGCAACTAACCACCACCACCTCCCTCCCCCTCCCTCTAGTCACGAACCAAAAACCCCCGACTCCAAGCCCTCCTCCACGCCTTCCTCCCCGCCGGCTACCCCCACTCCGTAACCCCTGACTACCTGCCCTACCAAACCTACGACTCCCTCCAAGCCTTTTTCTCATCCATAACCTCTCTCCTCGCCAACCGCGCCGTGCTCGAAGGTCTAGGCGTAGGCGACAGCTCCTCTTCGCCCACCGGCGCCTTGATTTTAAAAATCGCCGGCGACACTATTAGCAGGATCGCAACAATCTTGTTCGCGCATCGCATGGGCACGGCCATCGAGCCGGAATGTAAATTCTACCGGTTCCTGGCAGACTTGTTAAATGACAGCGCGCAGCTGCTGGATTTACTTACGCCCGCGCTGCCTTACTTCCCAAAACTGGGTGTTATTGTCAGCGCTGGTGTGTTGCGAAGTCTCTGTGGCGTGGCGGCTAATGCCAGCAAGGCGAGTTTATCTGCGCATTTTGCTCTGAGAGGGAACTTGGCCGAGTTGAATGCGAAAGAAGCGAGTCAGGAGACGGTTGTCAGTTTGCTGGGTATCTTGGTCGGCAGTCTGGTGGTTAAAGTTGTGCAGGACCGGGGAGTGGTGTGGGCGCTGATGGTGGGGTTGTTGGGCGTGCATCTTTTGATGAATTATTGGGCTGTGAGGGCCGTGAGGTGTCGGACCCTGAATAGGCAGAGGGCGACGGTGGTTGTTAGGGGGTGGTTGGAATGGGGAAGGGTGTTGGGGCCTGAGGAGGTGGCGAGGATGGAGAGTATTTTGCAATTGCCTTCTTTAATGGGACTGCTGGGGATGGGGTGGGTATTTGGGGGAGGAACAAGAGGAGGAAGAGGAGGAAGTGGAAAAGGAGGATTTGGTTTCGGCAAGATGACGAGTAAATCCGGTGAATATACGGGGTATTGCGAGTTTGGGACGTACGGGGATGTTAAAGCGTTGGCTGCCCCTGCTTGGAAAGGAGGAGGGTATCATAGGTATGAGTTTGAGACGGACGGGTATTTTATGGGCATTTGTCATCGGGGAGGGAATTTCATCATGAGGATCGCGTTGAAGGAGGAGCATGGCAAACCGATGAGTGATACGAGTGCAAGTGCGAGTACTGCAAGTGCAAATAGTCCGCTGGAGGCCTGGTTCGATGCGGTTAGCCACGCGTATCACTTTGACTCGGCCCTCAAGGACGGGCTGGAGAGTCATTACGAGAACGAGGTGCCGCTGCTGGGATATACGTCAGAGGAACAGAAGGGAACCGTGTTTGCGGCGCTGGCGGCTGCTGGGTGGGATTTGGAGACGAATGCGTTAGAAACGAGATCGCCTGTGAGGGTGAGGGTTGGGGATGGGAGGAAAGGTATGTAATGTGACTGATTTACATGATTGTCTCGTTGGCAATTGCTAACTGTTTTCTTCAGTTCCAATCCCGTCGGAAAAGGATATCCTTCGACAACCACAGGTGTCCAAGAAGGATTGAACTGCTACGTGGAATAATGGATAGAAGGAATGCGTTGGATTCGTCTCCTTCTAGGTCAGACAGAAACCTGAGGAGTAACAGGACATTTACAAAGTCAAAGTAACATGTAATTTATATCCAACCACCGAAGAGAGACCACTATCACCAAGAGAGTCACCTCTATGCGAGGATTCTCTCATTTCTACCATCCTCTATTGAACCTTCCCACTCTTGTATCCTGATGCGCCGCTTGCACAAAAGTTCATATGCAAAACATGAGTGAGATGCAATCATGAACCAGCCCTACTAATCATACAGCGAATCTTACACATATGTTAGACGAGTGAGTCTAGAGATCTTTACCCTCTATACTAATAATACAGCGAATCCTACATATATGTTAGACGAACGAGTCTAGAGATCTCTACCTCGTATACCCCTCAGGTCTACTTTCTAGACCGCTTCCATCATCCACCGCCCACACGCCTCTCCCTTTAGTTCAACCCAACAGCCCTCAGCGCCCTCATCTTGACGCCCTCCCACGTATTGAACTTGGGCCTCACATCCAAGTAAAAGTTCAGCTTCCCCGCGCCCGCCTTATCATTATTCCTCCCCGCATAAAAATCAATCACATAGTCCACCCTGGTGCCGCACCGATCCACGATCCAATCGTGCCTATCGAACGGCGCCGTGTACCCCAGGAGGGTGTTCAGCCTGGCTTTGGGCGTCATCCGCTTGCTCTCGCCCATGAAGCTCTGCAGCTTGGGCCCCTCCGCACACCCGCACCCTTCAACAAATGGTTTCTCCCACCGCAGGATCTCCGCCCACGCCCGCTCGTTCACCGCATTGTGGATCGGCACCACCGTCTTCATGTCGGCGGCGCTGGCGCCGTCGTGGCCCTTGCGCTTCATGGCTTCGTAGAACTGCTTCTCCGAGGGGTACACCCAGTTGCCCGTCGCCGTGTCGGCGCCCGTCTCTTGCTCGGCGTTGGAGGGGCAGGCGGAGGGGCCGGTGGTGGCGGCGCGGGGGATGGAGGAGATTTCGCGGTGTTCGCCGAGGTCAGCGGCGGGGGCACTGGTTGTTGCTGTGGAGGAAGAGCCGGAGAAGGGGATCCATGAGGACCATGATGATGACGATGGTTGCGAGGAGGAAGGAAGCGCCGCGGGTACTGCTGTTTGTTGCGCCGGCTGGGGAATCTGGGATTTGGGAATGGTCGCTGGTGGTTGCTGGACTGCTGCTGGTGCTGCTGGTGGTGCTACTACTGGCGTCGTGAATGCGTTCTCTGGCGATGGTGTTGTCGAGCCACCACCCGCCGCGGCCGCGGCCTCTTGTGCGGCCTTTGCCTGCTTTGCTTGTTGCAACCACAGCTCGCGCGTCTTGTGGTCGACGGGGCACTTGTCCTCACTGCCGGCATCGGCCTGTCCTGCCATTTCCTTCATCTTGTTGGTTGGTGTCTCGTAATAATAGGTGCTAACTATCGGCGAGGTTCTTCTTGATGTTGTCGAGGTAAATCGTGAGGTGTATACGGATAGGTAGCAGGGATCCTCGCTTTCTCTATAATCGAGATGCGACGATGTCGACACAAAGTTCAGATGACCGAGCCTCGAACTTTGGCTTTGCGACAAATTTGTTTATACGGGTGGTTTGTTGCTCTGGAATTTTAGGCCCAGGCGTCGTCAAGGTCCACGGCAGACAAGTTGCAGGGACCGGGTAACTGGAATCGCGAAAGAGAGAGAGACTCGGGCTTGAGGAGGAAACAGGAACCTTGAAAGCGAGAAGAATCATCGAGCTCCCGATTGGGTCGGGCGCGCTGTTATCGTCAGCGCTGGAAGATGCCGGGGAGCTCAACTTTTTAGTGGGGCTTGGGTGATCGATTGGCCGGCTCTGCCCAGTTGATTGGCAGCTGACAGAGACCTTCCGTGCTTCTTCCCTTCCCACCGAACTCTCACCGTGTTCGCCGTGGTGACCGAACTGAGCACATGCGCTGCCCGGCACATGGCATGGCATCAGGCACAAGCACATCGATCAACTCGACCCCCCGGCCGTCAATCTCACAGGGCTGATCATATTCCCGGTACAGTCCGCCTGCTTCTGTTTCTTCAGTCTCACTTGAGATTATTTCCGTAGAAGCCGAAATGTCCCCTGTAGAGGCTCTACTTGTACGTCACATGTTCCCATGATGAGATGTGCTACGCGCAGGGACGCTTCCGAGCATGCCGAGGTGTCGCTGTTGTATGTAGTGTAGAAGCAAGCAACCTTAAGCACATGGTGTCGACGATGCCGCTGCAAGTTGGCTTCCCTTTTGTGCGGTTGCTTTGAGGCCGCGAGTAAATATCTAAGGTTGTTTACTTGTGGCGTGGCCAATCCAATGATGTGAAATAGACCGGTGATCCCCAGCAATTCTCCGTCCAACTACGTGGTGGGATGGGGATGGCGTTTGGTCTCACATATGATCGTTCTCGTCATTCCTTGACCAGATTCGAGCAGCGGTTGGTGTTCAGAAAGTGTTTATATGGTTATTCTGGGCTCGCGGGCTGACACCCAACGCCGGGATTCCGCCCGGCTCTGGGGTAGCCCGTTGCACTGACTATATACACAAGACCTGCATTCGTCCCTCCCCGGTTACTCAAGCCCGGATGTCCGGACAAGGCCCGACCTCCTTTAAACGGCATTTTCCCCCACCGATCCCTGTTAACACCGTGCCATGCTGACCAAAGTCGGAACGTGTATCTCTAAAGCCAAACCCCGGTGAGCTCTTTGTTTTCTTCTAACGCCAATGCAGTGCTGTCCATAGATAATCTGATATACAAAATTTTTGCTCGGTTCAAAATCGTGTGAAGCAATGGTGATCGTACGCTTGGGTGAGTGTGTGTGTGGTGCGAGAAGGGGATAAGGATAGCGCTAGATGATTGGGGAGATCTCAAGAGTAGGCCCATCCCTAGGTCAAAGGGGGGTGGTATTGGCAATTCTCAAAAGGCTCGCTGCGTTGTGTCGATCGTTTTGGGTTCGATATCCATCTTGATAACGACCCGTCTAGTCTATGTTGGTTTCTCTCGCGTTTAAGCAAAGCCACAGCCGGTCTCGATAGCCTCAATCTCGGCCTCGGTGAGAGGCTGGCGACGGAAGCGGGCAGGGAGCTCGTTGCGGTCAAAGTAGAGGCCCTCGGTGGGCTTGACGGGGCCAAGAGCGGCGCCGGGAGAGCCACCAATGCCGGCCTGCTCACGGCCGATGGTCTTGCGAAGGGGGCCGTGCTGCTGGGCGTGCTGGCGGTAGGCGCTGAAGGTGGTGGAAGAACCCCAGTTGGAGGGGAGCGAGTGGGTGGGAGAGGCAGGGTGAGGCTTGGGAGTGTGGTCGACGGAAGCTGTTGGACAAAGAGCAAGATGTCAGCACGTCATCCGAAAACACCAAGGTTGCCCATCGAGATGGCAGATGCAGCACAGCCGGAATGCTCGGAGGCGCAACACGGGGAGGAGGAACATACCAGGAATGGTTCTGCGACCGAGGAACTTGATGGAAGGAACACGCTCAGCGTGAGCAGCAGCGCGGAGAACCCTGGTGGCGGCGAACATGGTTGCGGTTTTGCGGGTTGGGTGTGTTGACGTTGGGAGACGGTGACAACGGTGACTCGTGTAGGGCTGCACTTGGAGGCGGAAGCGGGAAAGCTATGCTGTCGACGGGACCGGTTGACAAATTTTCTCGTATTTCAGGGGCAATAAGTCAAGTGGGTAACTGCGGTTGTTTTTTTTGTGTTTTGGGTATTCCACCAAAAAAAAAGACGACGGGCAGTGTGACGATGGTTGTGGACAGCGGAGGTCGAAAGGGCGGGCAGGAACGGTTGAGTGGACGGCTATAGGCAAGACGGTTGAACAGTTTGGACGGCAGCGGCCGGGGCGGAGGAGATGGGACCAAAGGAGGGGTTGAAGTTAGGTTTGGACTCGTTGACTCTCGAGACTCGCGGCCAGGACGGGACTGTAAGCGGACAACGGGGAGTGAGGGCAGCGCGAGATTTATTACTGTTTCTGTATAACAGTTGGCTGTTTTTGACCCCGTCCTGTGCAGCTGCCTCTGCTGCAAAAGGGCACACCTTCCGCAGTCCACTTTTTCACAAGCTGCCGAAAAATGGAGAACAGGCTGCATATGAAAATTGTCCAAGGCATCCCACTTAGCTTCAGCCAATCATATTCTTCATCTGTGACCCCCGCCCGTGCTCGCTAGGCTGCGGACGGGGTAGCGTAGTAGCACTTGGACATTGGAGTAGCACTAATTTGTGCTAAGGTGCTACTCCAGCGTTACACGGCCCCGAGAGCCGGAGGGCAGAACTGCATTTGGTCACCAATCTGGAAACTCTTTTCGAAGATGATGCATTGTAAACATGCCATTTCCCACCAACATTCGCCCATTCCTTCTGTCTTGACCATTGTGTGAAACCAAGGTGGAAAGAGAACACGAACCTAATCGATCGCAAGTTCCGTGGCAATTGCACCACCACCTCGATGCACCCTCAGATGAACCCAGTCTCGAACCCCTCCTGCCTCTTCGGTTTGGTCCTCCGATATTGTCCGTTGCGAGGCTGGGGTATTCTAGGCAATGAACTTCCGTCGTTACACCCTGCATGGTTACCAATCACACAAGGCCAGAAACGGAGATCCAAGATGGCGAGCGCTAAACCGGCCGAGTTGGTGGTCCGTTGGCGGCGGGTTGACAAGCATTGCCAAGTTCTTGGAACGTCGTCACTGAAGAGCGCTAGAGGTTTGGTGGTGTCGTGGTGAAGAGCTGTGAATGGCTGTGTTGGCTGTCGAGAGATAGGGTTCAAAAGGTGTTTGTAACGGGTGTGAATAATTCCCGTCACGTATTCGTAACGACTCCAAGTCTCCAACTGCCGTTGATCTCCGGATTCATTCTTCGTTGCACTTTGCACATCTTCAAACCTTTGTCCACTTCAACACATCGGTACCGCTTGACCAGCATCATCCATGTGTAACAGGCATTTGTTTCATCAATCGACCGTCTAGACCGGGGGATAACGGGGTCTAACAACGACCTGGACAACGGGGCAGACCGTCGCCCGCCCCCGCAGGCAGACGGCGCAACCGGGGCTGCACTCCGTAGTCCGACCCTCCGATAAGCAATTTCCCCCCCCGGCTTTCCTTTCCCGTTGGTTCATCGCCACCTTTAATACCACCTTTTTAGCCTGGTGCCATCGCAAACCACCATGATGCGATTTTGAGTCTCACAACTGGAATCAATCAAATCGCAAACCCCGCATCTTCAGCTGCCTTGTCTTCTTCACTCACAGTTGCATCCCGCGTCCCAAACCGGAAGTCCTCCACGCGACTCCCATGGCTTCAATTCGAGATGATGCTTCAAATCGGCCCAACGATCGCGGCGCCAGACCTCGCACTTTGTCCCCCACTGGACACCTTGTACACTACATACATAACAAGCAGTGCGACCGCAATCGGACCTCGTTAAGTACATGGTGCTGCTTTGGCTTCCACTTACCTCTCCCTACATCATTTTTCCCTTGGGCCTCGGAATGCATGCATTTGCAGGTAGGTACCTAGTCCTGAACCCCTTAGAATGCATGGGCATGCATTTGCAGATAGACAATGTGTCTTTCCAGCATCATAGTGGTTCAACTGCTCCCACCAAGGTCTGTACCGCTCAGGCACGTCAGGCAACTCGAGGTTTTGGGGTTGCAAAGATGGCCTCAGCTGAGCAATAGTCTGCATTGTCTGTCCTGGCTTGCCTGTGTGTTATTTCTTAAAACCATCAAGATCAAATCCCTGAGGTTACCTACACGCTAATAATCAGCTGTACTGTTCTTTCTTTTCGCGGAGTCGCATTGCAGAGCTGTGTAGTTCCAAGTCGGGTGGAATGTTGACCTGACCCCCCACTGGCGCCTTCACTCGGCCTGTTGCTTGTCTATCAACGCCGAGCCCAAATTTGCAGTGTCCCTGTTAAGGCCACATCTCATTCAACTCTCCTCGCCAAAAAGGGAAACATCAAGGGACATCAAACTTGAGAAGCCATCTCAGTCTCGTCGTCACCTAGGTACTTGCATTTACAACTAGGTGCTCTGCCTAATATTCTTTTGTTTCGACTTTCGCAGGGACCATTCTCATCATGTTGCTTGCAAGGTGCCTGATAAAACGAACACCTATTTTACTTTATCAACCCTTCCCCTTGTCCCCTCTTGCCCCAGATCCTAAGTCAAATCCCAAACTCCGGTAAATTCGCCGAATTCAACCAATCCGGCAAACCGCCGCATCATCCCACAGCGACGACAGTCCCGGGTTGCCGCCACCAACATGATTATGTTGATGGTGATACATGCTGTTTGGGTTTGAAGTAGTAGTAGTCGTAGCCTGATCAACATGAAATTCGTTATTCAGCGCCTCGCGTATTTGGTCATCGGACATGGACGAGAACTGGAGCAGGATCGGTTCCGTGGCTGCCCATAGGGAGGAGGAGGGTGTTGATGATGACTCGAAGACTGACGACGATGGACCGCCCAAAGCGGCAGCATCTGTCGGCACACTGTTGCTGCTATAGCCGCCGCTACCGCCGACGCCGACGCCGCCGACGCCGCCTATACTTGTTGCGGTGGCAGTCCCTTGCTGGTTGCTGCTGCTGCGTTGATATGCTGCTAGTGCTGCTGCTGCTGACGAAGATGCGGATGGCCCACCGTGTCGGGAGAAAGCCACGGGCGGGCCCTGACCGCCTCGGTCCGATGACATTGTCGTCCCGTTCCCGTTCCTTGGACGCACTGTTGAAGCGAGTTGCTCATATGAGGTCGCAGCAGCAGCCGCCGCTTTCTTGACGATGTACTTTAGGTATTTCCCATACAGCGTCGACATGCCATTGCGATGTTCCGTAGCGGTGCCTATCCGTTCCAGCACGCCCGCCGTCTCCTCGATCAGCGTCCGGACGCTGGGCGCCAAGCTGGAGGTCCCGCCGGAAAGCTGGCCGCTGAGGCGCAGGGCAAAGCAGGCGGCGAAGGAGATCATGATGGCCGTGTTGTTGGGCATGCTGGAGAGCTGCTCTTCGCCTTGGATGGCGGAGCGCATGACGTTTAGGGCCGAGGAGAGACCGGCGGCGTGGAAGAAGTGGCGGACTTCGGTGGGCGCGGTGGGGTGGTTAATTACGCTGCTGTAGATGGAGAGGCGGGTGTGCGTGACGAGGATTTGGACGTAGGGTGGGAGGCGATGTTCTTTCACTAGTGTTAGTGGGAGGTAAAATGGAGGTAAGGAGGGGTGTGCTTACGTGGTCCGGTGCCGATGGGTATGGTCCATTTGGCGTGCCATTGTTCGAAGAATTTGTCGACTGACATTTGTATCCTGAAGCGGTTGTTAGAAAGGCATCTTGCAGCCTGAAGGGAAGAAAGACGGATGACGAACGATTGAGCAATAAGGCCGCCGTCTGCCAGCGTTTCACGGGATCCGTCACAGACTGCCCTTATGGAATTGAACAAATCGTCCTAATCATGTCAGCGCTTGCATTGCAGAAACCATCAACATTGTCCCTGGGAACTTACCAAGTCTCTCCTCAAGACAGCCATTGACACCAAGTGTCCGTCCATGGTATCCGCAATGTCTGACATGTGCCATTCATCACAGCGTCGAAGAAGTGGCGTAAGAGGCACCGTATAACTTCTGCCTCGCGCTAGGCACATTCCTCGCTCCAGAACAAACAACGCAATCCAACATCTCTCCCTCCGCCGCAACAGCCGTCTCCCTAGTTCTGATTCGGAATCAACATCTCCAAAGCCATCGAGCGATAACGCGACCTTGGGGTCAATGCAGTCTGCCCGTGCAATACCTCTGTTGTAGCTGCCGTCTCGTAGGGCATCCATAGAAACCACGATCTTGTGTAGAGACAGGTCCAGAGCCATGGTGGTGGCCATGGAGACATACCAGCACGTCTCGTCGTCGGTGCTGTGTTTTCCAGGAAACATCCAGGGGACGTTGACCATGAAGGCAAGGATGATTTCGACAGATCGGTACCGGTCGACCATGATGCGGTTGACCAAAGTTTTACAGTGATTGGATAACCTCCGCGACAGGGCTCCTTGTGTTGGCATGAAGAGGGCGGCGGCGGCACATATTGAAGTGAAGAGGAAGGCTGAACGTGAGCGTGTAAAGGAGGCCGTGTATAATATTGGATCCAGTCCCCATCTGGTGTGGGCAAGACTCTTATGAAAGAAGCCAAAAAGAGACCCTGCCTCCTCCGTCGTAAGTAAGCCAAGATCAATGGGATCGAGATCAGGACCGCAGTCAAGGGAGAATTGTGTGAACTTGAAGAATTTTTCAATCTCGGACAGCTTTTCGGTTTGTTTATTCTGGCGCGGGCGTTGGTGGTTGTGGATGATCTCAGCGGTGGAAACCTCGCCCACTGGTTTCGGAGAAACATGCATGTCAGAAGCTCGGGCGAGAAGCTGAAGGGGATTCTCTGCATCATCGACGGCTAGGCTCTCATCTGCCACATGGCTTTGAGATGGCGTGGAGTCTTGCGGGATGCTCATGTCGTCATGATCTGAGAGAGAGCTTTCACCTGAATCATCGGAGACATCCGCCATGAGAACATCACTAGGCCTTCGCGATATGGCCGAAGACGTCCTTCTATGACCGTTTCTGGGTCCTTGCCGGTCACCATCGGCGAGAGGTGTAAGTGAGCCGGCACCTAAGATTACCTTTAGTTCAGAGACAAATCTGGTGGCCTCGATGCCGTGCAGACTGGCTCCTGATCTTTTGACAGCCTGCTCGACTTGATGGAGTGCCTTTTCCAGCCCGGTGCGCTTACTGAGGAGTTGGTCAGTAACAGGGCATTGTTATGAGGAACCAGCAGAGACTTGCTTTTTGACCCCCTTCCTCCTGCCCACGTGGAATTCGGGGCGGACGCATTGTACCCCTAACTGAAGACATCGTTGGCATCGGTCATCATCGTTATGTTGACCCTTCCCCTTTTCGCACCGGATCTTGGATCGACGACAGACTAGACATGCGGCAGCTCTGCGACTGTTGCTGTCTTTTAGGGACTCTCGGGTGCCCTCAGACGGAGCCGCAACTGTGACATCTGGCATATCCATGGAGATGCCAATAATTCGGGTGATATGTAGCGGTGATGTTGATCAGTCCAAATGCCAGTTAGTTGTGCGAAACAAGCACAACTCCTCTCATTCAACGTGACTTGTGAATCGTGGTATGTGATTCGCATCCTTCTCCTTCCCAACTGAGAGCATTGGCGGGGTCATTGATACCGCGGGCTGCCGGTGTTCAACCCCACAGTAGAATATACCCCAAAACGGTGGCGACAGCTGTTTGGCAGGCTTTGACAGGTGAAACCCGGCAGTTTTGCTGTAGTGCTGGGGCTTCGAATGAGAGGAAGCTGTTGTTGAGAGAAGGCCCCCGTGATGATTGAAAAATAAGGTGAAAGAAGGTGAAAGTAAACATGACCGAAATGCGAAGGAAAGCTTTCGCCTCAGCCAAACTGCTCGTTTTTAGTTAATTGCAAGGCCTTTCTATTAGATTGACTTTGATCGGACTCTCGGAACGACGAATTTGCACCAACCAAGTGTTTCTCTGTGGAACGGCAACAACGAGCCGTTGATAGATTGGCGACGACGGAGGCGGGATGCCCCATTTTGAAGTCGGTAACCCATTTACCCGCTCGCTGTATGAGCCGATTGGCCCTTTTGAGCTGGAGAGCATTTTGGATATATTTGACCATCGTATTTTTGAGCCTTCACTTGGCCTGGTTCCTGGTCCGAAGAGGACAAAGAGGGTGTGATACCCAGTTTCAACCAAACTCGCTTTGCCGACACCCCATCCGTCCGCGCCATGAACCTTGGACCTTCCGTGGACCATGATGAAACCCGCTCTACCCCTTGACGACATCGATGGTTGTCGGTTGGAGGCTCCGTGGTGCGGCAACACTTGTTGCTAACGTCCAGTCCTAGATAATCAGGATACCATCTCCCATATGCGACCGAAAACAGAATTAAAGAGTGCAGAAATACCCGAGGGACGAAGCCTTGACGAAAAGAGGATGCCACTCGACAGCCTGTTCAAGCACAGCGAACCCAAGCTCGACAGAACCGCAGCAACCTGCGGTGGCCAGATAGCTCGACGCCATGCGACAGGATGTGATTCAAGGGAACCGAAGACATGCGACCGCGAAGCAAAAAAAAAGAAAAGCTTCATCTGTTGTTTGCTTTTTTCCTTCTGTCCTCTCTTTTCTTCTCCTTCTCGTCGTATAGCCGTCCAACATAGTCCGAATCCAGCTGTTTGATGATGAATGTGTGTGGCCTGGCGAAGGCGCTATTGGTGAGGAAGTTAATGGATTTGGTTCGGAGGAAAAAAAAGAGAAGATGAGGAGGCATAAGGGTGAAGGTACGAGCTTGAAGAGATGACGATGATGATGATGACAGGAAGAGAAGATGCCCTCACTCAATGCCAACGGGGAAACGAATGGGGGCCCACATCGCTCCCTGACTCCACAATTAAATGCGATGCTCTAGCGGGGCAGTGGGTCGGTCGTCTGGGGCTTTCAGTGTCCGGACAGGGTGATCGAAACACGGAACGCGCTTTCCCCAGCACCTCTTTACGCGTCTTTCTTTTTGGGCAAGTGCAGTGGTCTATCAAAAAGCACCTTCCAACCCAAACTTTTGTCCAGGAACTCTGAAAACTCTGACTGAATTTGCTCTTTCTGTCTCTTGCAGCGTCCCCAAGTCTTTCCTGTCATTCTACCACGGACAAGCCAGGTCGGCCAACTGTTGGCGCAAAATGGGCGACAAATCTTCAACTCCGGCGCGCACCCCGGCAAGGACCCCATCTACCGTTAAGAGATCTGGACTGGCCTCGACGGGCAGGCAGTCGAGTATTCTCGGATTCTTCTCCAAGACTGCCGTTTCTGCGACTCCTACCAATGCGACCTCAAATGCCAATTCCAATGCCAATAGCACTGTCACAGCTTCCAGTCCTGCTTCTGATGCCACAGCAACACCTCGCCCTGGCCAAAAGGAAAAGTCCCCAGAATGCCTGAAAGAAACCACAAAATCCAACTCGATTCTGCCGCCCAGACGGAGAAGGGGGCTTGACGAGACCCCAGTCCCTAGTAGTGACGCCGTTCTACCCCCTAGCTCCCAGGAAAACCCAGGCACTGCCTATTCCAAGGATGACGACACCAAGACCATCATGATGCCCAGCAGTCCCATCAGGCGCAAGGCGAGTCATCTCCTGTCTATTTATCCTTCTAGGCTAACCTGTGTGAATAACTCCAGACGAAAGCGGTTGTTAACTATGCAGAGTCGTCAGACGACGACGGCGACGATGTCTTTCTCTCATTTTCAGGGAGACCAAAGAGCTCTCGTCAATCACGCGCTCGATCACGCCCCAAAGTCATAGACGAAGACGACGAAGACGATGCTTTCGAGATGGATGAGACCGTAGTCAACGAGGACGAAGATGATGAGATGGCGGACTTTGTAGTCGAAGACGACGAATCCGATGAAGGCGCCTCAAAGTCCAAAAAGAGAAAACGACCGACAGCACGCCCGAGCGCCCCACGCAAAAAGTCAGCCATGTCCTCTCTTCCTGGTCCTCGGCCATCGACACGACAAGAGGAGGATGACGAGGACGAGGAGATGATGGATGATGTTCCCAGAACCTCAACAGCCCTGAAATGGAAGTATGATCCGGACAACATTCAGCCAGCTGAGTCTCGATCTGTCGCTCCTCGTACCGCACCAACATCGTCGTCCGCCAAAACAAAGCCAAAGGCACACACGAGAGAGCCTGAGCAGAGATACCCGTGGCTGGCCGATATTCAAGATGCCAATAGGAACCGGCCAGGACATCCGGATTACGACCCTGGCTCCGTCTATGTGCCCCCATCTGCGTGGAGGCAGTTTTCGCCGTTCGAGACGCAGTACTGGGAGATCAAGAAGAACCTATGGGACACCGTGGTCTTCTTCAAAAAGGGCAAGTTCTACGAGCTCTATGAGAACGATGCCACCATTGGCCATCAGCTCTTTGACCTCAAGCTCACCGATCGTGTCAACATGCGTATGGTTGGTGTTCCCGAGAGCTCGCTGGAAATGTGGGTCAATCAGTTCGTCGCCAAAGGGTACAAGGTTGCCCGCGTCGACCAAATGGAGTCTGCCTTGGGCAAGGAGATGCGCGAGCGTGACACCAAGGCCAAAAAGGCGGACAAGATTATTCGCCGCGAGCTCGCTTGCATTCTGACAGGTGGTACTCTGGTGGATGGCAGTATGCTTCAAGACGATAACGCCGTCTATTGTGCAGCCATCAAAGAGTCTGTCATCGACGATAAGCCTGCATTTGGCATCGCCTTTGTAGACGCTGCTACTGGACAGTTCTTCATCTCAGAGTTTGAGGACGATGTTGATCTTACCAAGTTTGAGACCTTTGTGGCTCAGACCTCCCCACGAGAGTTGATCTTGGAGAAATCACACCTGTCGACAAAGGCCCTACGGATTCTCAAGAACAACACTGCTCCTACCACCATCTGGAACTATCTGAAAATGGGAACCGAGTTTTGGGAGGCTGACACCACAAGGCGCGAACTTGACTGTAGCGGTTACTTTGTCTCTGGCGAAGGCCAGGATGAGGTCTGGCCCGAGAAACTCAAAGAGGCCCGCGGCAAAGATCTCTTAATGTCCGCTCTCGGTGCTCTGACCCAGTATCTGCGTATGCTGAAGATTGAGCGCAACTTGCTCTCCCAGGGCAACTTTGCCTGGTACAACCCCATTCACCGGAACGGCACACTTATTCTTGACGGCCAGTCTCTTATCAACCTGGAAATCTTTGCCAATACAGCCAATGGCGGCCCCGAGGGAACTTTGTTCCATCTGCTAAACAGGTGCATAACTCCCTTCGGAAAGCGACTCTTCCGGCAATGGGTCTGCCATCCTCTCTGCAACATACAGAAGCTCAACGAGAGACTGGATGCGGTCGACATGCTTAACGACGACCGAAGCTTTCAAGAGCAATTCTCGTCTCAGATGAGCAAGATGGCCGATCTGGAGCGGTTGATATCCCGAATTCATGCTGGCGCTTGCAAGCCCGGGGACTTTGTCAAAGTTTTGGAAGGGTTTGAACGGATTGACCGTACCATGGAACTTCTCGAGGCCTTTGGTGGTGGTAATGGGCTGGTCGACCGCCTCATTGCATCCATGCCGAACCTCAAGGAACCCTTGGGGTACTGGAAGACTGCGTTCGATAGGAAGAGGGCCCGCGATGACAAGCTTCTTATTCCTGAACAAGGCATAGTAGAAGACTTTGACCGCAGCCAAGAAGAACTGGACCGGATCAAGGGAGAGCTGCAGGAGCTTCTTGAGAGGCAAAAGACTGCTCTTAGGTGCAAGACCGCAAAGTTCACCGACGTTGGCAAAGAAGTCTACCAGATTGAAGTTCCCAAGACAGTGAAGGTTCCTCCCAAATGGCGCCAAATGTCCGCAACTTCGGCGGTCAAGCGGTACTACTTCAAGGAGCTCGAGGATCTTGTTCGTGAGCTTCAGGAAGCCGAAGAAACACATTCTCAGATCGTCAAGGAAGTCGCTTCGAAATTCTTCAAGCGCTTCGATCTCGATTATGAGACATGGTTGCAGGCAATTCGCATCATTTCGCAACTGGATTGTCTCATCAGTCTGGCCAAAGCGTCATCGGCTCTTGGTCAACCTTGCTGCCGCCCAGTGTTTGTGGATGATGAGCGGACCGTTGTCGAGTTCAACGAACTACGCCATCCTTGCATGCTAAACACCGTTGACGATTTTATCCCGAATGACATCAAGCTGGGTGGTGATGAGGCAAACATTGACCTTCTTACCGGCGCAAATGCGGCTGGCAAGTCCACAATTCTTCGAATGGTAAGTGCTTGTCTTGGAGGAATCCATCAACTTGTACTCTTCATTTGCTAATCGCCTACCAAACGCAGTCCTGCATCGCTGTGATTATGGCCCAAATCGGTTGTTACGTTCCTGCCATGTCCGCCCGCCTGACACCCGTCGACCGCATTATGTCTCGTTTGGGCGCGAATGACAACATCTTTGCCGCGCAATCCACATTCTTTGTCGAGCTGTCCGAGACGAAGAAGATCCTGTCAGAAGCCACTCCCCGTTCACTAGTTATTCTTGACGAGCTTGGACGTGGCACATCTTCATATGACGGTGTTGCCGTCGCCCAGGCAGTTCTGCACCACGTCGCATCACACATTGGTTGCGTCGGTTTCTTCGCCACACACTATCACAGTCTTGCTACCGAGTTCGAGAATCATCCCGAGATCCGTGCCAAGAGAATGCAGATTGAGGTGGACGAGGAGAACAAGAGAATCACCTTTCTGTACAAGCTCGAGGACGGCGTCGCAGAAGGCTCATTCGGTATGCATTGCGCAGCCATGTGTGGTATTCCCGACAAGGTGATTCGAAGATCCGAGGTTGCAGCAAAGGAGTGGGAGCATACGAGCCGATTGAAGGAGAGCCTGGACAGAGCAAAGACGGGCTGCTATATTCCGCTCGGAGTGCTGAGCGATGTGGCCAGTCTGCTGAGGAGCGAAACTGGGAAGGAGCGGGAAGTCGGCGACAGGGGCGTGGAGGTTCTTTTGCGGGCTATCGAGGCTCTTTGATCGGTAAGGACAAGCCTAAGGGGCTGATTGGCGCGCAAGAAATGGGGCTCTGAAATGGGTCCTCTAAAGTGGTTTCTAAAGGAATAGTACAGACCCTCCTGAACCGGATTTTATCGCAAAATACCGAGCTTTTGAGCTCCACCCTATTCCAATTCAGAGCTCCAATTCAGACTGCCGTTTGGTGCCCTAGAATTGTAGAGCCTACTACTTCGTATATATAGGTCGATAAATCAATGTAACCTTCTTTCATACTCATTTGCTAATTGAAACTAGTAAATATACTAGTAAAATAGCTGGCTCCTAAGCTGCTAGCAAGGTAATATGTATTCCCCTCCCTTCTATAGTATTCCCATCTGTATAATCCAATTAGCCTAGTTCCTAAGCGACCTCTTTAATTTACTTTTTAGCTTGCCTTTTAGCTATCACGGAATGCACTCGGGTGCTTCTTCTGGGACAAACTATATAAGATCACTTGAGCAACCAAACTGCCAGCTTTGGTTACTTGTATCCTTTTGGAACATAGCCTAATAGTGTAGTGATCCGCCAGCGCCGTGACACCAGCCTATTTTCTAATGTAAGTTTAAAAACTTTACTACTAAATCTCTTAAAAAATAGTAATAATAAAACGAAAAAATAAGAAGTAACCTTCTTATTATACTTGCTTGCTGTAATGCCCTAACTAACCTATAATAATAGCACCAGTATAGAGATGCTACAGTGAACTATGCACTTGTAGCAGAGCGAAGCGGAAGCGGTAGGAAGTACAACAGCAGTGCTGAAGGAAGCAGCGTAGTTGCAAAGACAATAGAGGAATTTTATAAAAGAGGTCTTAGAGAGAACTCTGCTCTCAAGATAGAAGAGTACAGTAGACTCTGCACTGTAAGAAACAACTATTATAGTGAACTCTGCACTATGGAAGTAGACTGTATTATATTGCTTGGATTGTGCTTGCTTGCTTAAGGGGTGACTAACTAAAGGAGAGAAGAGGTCTTTATATACACGAACGTTAAGTATCTAGGAGCTTCCAGAGCGTAGAAGCTTCTGTAAGTTAATAGGAGTGCTTGTAGGAGCACTATATCATAAAAGGAATAAAGTGAATCTATGAGCTTCTGGTGTATTTTATGATGACAAATTAGTCTAGAAGGAATGCTGAACAAGTTAGAGAATCTTAGAATATAATAGCAAAACCTCTGTATTCTAGCACGTTCTGTGGAGGCTGAGTGGACTGGTTCCATAGAAGGAATAGTTTAATCAGCCTTCTATACTATAAGGTAGTACAAGACATAGTACTAGCCACACGTTAACAATACTAAAAAAAAAGTAGTTAAGGATAGCTTTACAAACTAAAGTAAGTATGAAGAGTAAATATATATCTAATATATAAAAGCGCTACGTTAGAAATATAGTATTAAATTCAATTATAAATAAGTAAGAAATAAAATTAAATATTTTGAATATAAATAGCGTGCTTAATAATCCTTTGCTAACGCGGTATGTTAATTAAATTTCGAGTATAAAGATAGAATATATATTGCGGAGAATTTTCCATATAATACTTTCTTCAAAATCAAAGAATTTTTAATCTTGTCAAATATAAACAAATTACTTACTAAACTAGTATTATAGAATTATAAGAAGTATGCGCAATTCCAAAACAAATAGCTTTCTTATTGCGAGCTTATGAGACAAGTATTTACTATTAATTAGAATACTATTAGCGTTTAAGTATATACATTTAATATTTTATTAAATTGTAAAGAATTATCGTTTATAGTAATATCATATGAATTTAATAATATTAATATTCTCATAGCTTGGCGCCATGCCTTCTGATTGACTGCATTATCTACATGTCTCACTTGTTGCATTTACCTGTCAGACCCACTTCCTATTTCATTCTTGTATTTAGTCATGCTAGCCAGACTTGCACTTCCTCCTCTTCTCTTTTACTCACTATAGTTAATTATTTATTACATTCGTTAGGTTATTCGTGCGCACTGCCCTCGAGACCTATGTGCCGTGACAGATATTTCTAATAATAATATAGTTATTACTTATATATATAATAGTAAAAAGAAAGTTACTACTACTACCAATTCTCAAAAGAAGAACAGGAAGAATAATAGTAATACTATTATTAAATTGTTTAAGTACTTA